TTCTACTGGCCAAAACCGTTATCATCAGTTCATCGCTATGTGAAAACTTGCCGTGAGTGTCAAAGACGCAAAACTCCATCCGTGAAACCTGCAGACCTCCTCCAGCCAATAGAACTGCCGCATTTCCCATTCCAACAAGTAGGTATGGATCTTCTAGGCCCGTTTCCGACATCGACTGCACGCACGAAGTGGATAGTCGTAGCCACGGACTATCTCACTCGTTACGCTGAGACTGACTCGCTGTACAGTGCAACAGCTCTTGAAGTTGCCAAGTTCTTCATCAAAAACATAGTCCTCAGACATGGTGCACCCAGCGTCGTAATTACAGATGGTGGCCCAGCTTTTACTGCAGACCTAATGAAATGTCTGATGTGAATGACCCATACCGACCAGAGAAGAAATACAGCATACCATCCTCAAACAAATGGCCTAACGGAGCGCCGGAACAGAACTCTGACTGATATGCTTTCAATGTATGTCGACGTTGAACATAAACTGTGGAATGAAATATTGCCCTACATCACAAACGCATATAATACAGCCATTCAAGAAACAACGCGAGTGACACCATTTGAATTTGTATTCGGCCGAACAGTCACCACTCCAGTGGATGACATGTTACCACTGAATTATGAAAGCAGCAATCTACCTGGCGTAGACGACTTCCTGCAAAGAGCCGAGTAAGCACGACAGATGGCGAGATACAGAATACGCCGCCAACAGCGTATCGACTCCTATCGGTACAATCAGCGTCGTACCGAATCGCATTTTCAACCAGGTGACAAAAAATAGATATGGACCCCAGTGCGTCGCCATGGACTTTCTGAAAAACTTCTTAGCCGCTACTTCGGGCCTTACGAAGTATTCCATCGTGTTATCGATGTAACGTACCAAGTCAGATCCGCTATACACGGGAGCTCAAAACGCCTCAACCCTAAAAGGGTTGTACATGTAGTACGGATGAAGCCTTACTATGAAAGATCATCGAAAAACCAGTGACGCCTACCACGAATCTATTCATTGCCTGACGCATCGGGATGATGCGTATGAGAAGAGGGATGATGCCGCGACATATTGCCTGCATTCAAACAACGCACCCATCACCGCGCGCACTGGGACATACATGCGCGCCGTCTAGTGTTGCGCAGAGACGATGATCATAGCACGAGAAACCAACTGGCCCCTGCTGATGTGCGCCACGCGCTTGGGACTCCTCTTGAAGAAGTAGAAGAAGGAGACATCTTTGGTGTTCTGCTGTAACGTTCTACGACCATAGTCCCTTTGAGTTGTGGGCACAGGTTCGCCCTTTAGTAAATACGTTTTACTACACCCCGAGTGCTTCAACATCGTTAAAATATGGCCATTTTTTTCTACTCTGGCTCTACGCATCCAGAACTGGAACTGAAGGTTTCCATTTCCACGACACATGTTGTCTTAAATGATTCTTGTATACATATTGCGTAGTGTTATGTTGTCTAAGTTTGTTTTATAGCTCGTGGAACAGGGCATTTTTAGTGTATTTTAAATTTTCCTCTATTCAACGAAGACCTCTATTCTGTAGGTTGCACACGTTCTCATTCGGCAGTCAGTGTTATCGTTAGTGTAATTTGGAGTTCGTTAAACTGGCACTAGCTTTTCAAGAAGAAAATATTTAGAAAAAATGTTTGACCATTTTGGGTTCTATATACACTCTGCTAAGAAGTGTGGTAAGCTCTCCCAGAATGTTGCTTTGCGTAAAGCAGAGGAGAATGGTGCGGCATGAAAGAGGGCGAAGTATAGACGAAAAGAAGCGTGAATGCAATTTTGTAGTTCAATATGCCATGCATGGACCAACAACGGAACATGCGAATAATTGTCTGCTGGTGACACAAAACAAGCTCCGAGTAAAGTACAAGCTTCATCTCACTCCTAAGAAGTTGATGCCGCTTGAAAAGCAATCCAAAGTTATAAGCGTTGGGAATTTATTAGATGCTTATTTATTACATTGACATTAAGTTATTATCTTAAAACCCTTTTTCTGAAAGTGTTATTTTTGTTGCGTCCTACAGTTACGCAAACAACGATAGCTTCTTTTCAAACCAGTATTTTCATATAAAATTTATCTTGCTTATTTTGTATAGGTGGGACAGTGCATTCACGCAGAAATATTAAAAAGAGGCGGTAACTTCTTGTACTATTGCCAACTGCGTGTAAAGCAAACTTGCCATTTACGAACTTTTCTACTCTATTTGTGGTAACGCACCGAAGCCTAATAATGTGATGATCATGGAGGCAGGTTCCCGGCGTTCGTCCCCCCAATGCAGCTGCCAGTCGCGTCTAAGTCGCACCAAATGTTTGTTCGTTAGGGCCCTAGGCATAACGTGCATGTGCTGGCAGTTCTTCATTTTCACAAAGGTATTTTTGACATATTCAGATGTTTCTTCACCGTAATGTTGAAATTGGCCGAAACCATACAAGCCACAACAATAATTATTAATTTCCAACGAAACTGTAAATATTTTTTATCTATGATCGTGACAGAACGCGAACTACATACAGTCACAGATGCAACATGGGTGGCCCAACTACAGAGACAGTGCTCCGCGCAGAAACCAGGCATTCGCACCTCATAGATCTACGTGCACGCCGTCATCGTCGTAGTCCTTTAAGGCCGCGTTCACACTGAGCATTCCGGCCGCCGAAAGTGCTCCGAATCCGGTTCGGCGGTGGCGAGATCCGCCGAAAGGGCCCTCTCCGCGCCGACTGCTCTCGGACCGATTTTTGCGGCGTCTGCCACCGAATCGGTCGCCGCGGACCAATGGGAGCGCTAGTCAAGGAATTTTGAAAAATGGCGGCCAAGCCCTACTCACTTGTTATGCCGCAGTGCACGTAACTGAATGTTGAAGCCAACGGGAGTTTAACCTACTCTGTGCCTACTTCGCGTCCGTATTTCGTGGAAGAGGTGACCGAGCTTGCTGTGGGCGTGACCGAGCTTGTTGTGGTCTTGCAGAGCAAAACGAACCTACCAACGCCGCTGGCATCAGTGGTTTTTCTGCTCTTCGTGCATTACAAGACAGCCACTTGCCAGCAAAGTAAGCAGTACTGTCTTTTCTTGCTTCTTGCGTACGAGAATCGTCGAAGTATACACCACCGGATATCGTAGTAGCGTTTGCGAGCCGCGACAAGAACCGGGCGACAGCGCATCCATCCCGCGTTCGCCCCGTAGTAGATGGCATATTCGGCGGCGCGGGGTGCGTCCAGTGCGAACGACGCTGCGTTTCGGCGGCAGGGAAATTTCGGTCGTTGTAGAAAGCGGATGTTTCAGTGTGAACTAGGCATTATCGCTTCGGCATTTTCTGAAAGCGGCCGTTGCTGTTTCCGTTCTTTAGTACTCACTCAATGTATGTACTCGTGGTCTTCAACCACCGCGATCGTTTCGCAGTCATTTGTTGGGCTAGCTGGTTGATTCTTTGCTTTGAGTAGAGGAGTGGTGAGTAGGGATTTACTCGATTTCTGTTGCAGGTACATGCATATAATAATGATAATTTTCTGATAGACCACCTAGTGGCCTTTGCTCTTTCGATGACGACAGTTTTTTCCTTGCTTTTCAGTGGGCCAGTCACGAATTGTCAAAATCTTTCACATTGTTTGGCCCATACACGTTAGATGGTGATAGCTTTTTTGGTCAATTATTGAGGACAAGCGGTCAGTAGCGGGGTGTCACCACCTTCCGAGGCACATACCTGTAGGTGACACAAATTTCGAACAGCCGAAATCGCTGCGCTAATAAAATTGGGCTCTGACGAAAAATAGCAGCCCCTTTCCTGCATTCTCGGTGTTCTGCTCTTGCTATTGCGTGGTTTGAAGCCTTCAAGTTTAATGAATATACAATATTATGAGCTATTTTTGTTACGTCTTCAAATAGCAAAAGAATAGAATGTGTGGACGCAAGAGCGTTTTTGTAGAATCTGCCGTCGAATTCGTATATAAACATTCATGTAATATTTTCGCTTAATATACTGTTCCCTGTATTCTCCGCACCAAAAAGGCATGTAGGCCTTGACGTAGATTCGAAGTATCAAGAAGACGGGTACTTACCTTGCCCGCGGAAAATCTCTATTTTAAGGAAAAATAAAGTTGCGAAAACAGCTTGTTCTCTAACGTGAAAGCACACTTTACCTTGTGTACATACTTCGTCTTATTGAACAGTTTCCATATATAGGGCATCTTTGTAAGTTCCAGCATTGTTTAAAAGACACATGACTCTTGTAAAAATTTCTGGTATGGTGTGCATGCCCAAACTGCAGTAAGTTTTTTTTCGTGTATTAGTTTAGTTTCACTATCGTCTTGGTAGCTACTAAGCGCTTCAAATTTTCACCCTCTTTTTTTATCGTTGCTACGTTACATTTGTCTTTTAGAAGCCACTTTTTAGGGCGAAGCTACTTAGGGTTTGGGTCTATTCTCACTACGATGATATATCTAGCCACCGGTGTTACATATTCGAAAGAGCAGTCCTTAGAATGTCCACTAGATGGTGGCACTTTTATATTATTATTACATGAAGAAATGAAGTGTGATGGCTGTACTTGAAGTGTTCACTGCATATATGGACGGACGGATGTACATACATATGGATGGACGAACTTGCGGATGTACAGACAGACAGAGAGGTGTACGCACGGACGGACAGACAGACAGAGGGATGGCCACACGAACCGACGCACGGACGGATGGATGCACAGACGAAAGAACAGACGTACGTACGGACGCATGGAAGGACGCACGGACGGATGGCCACACTGGCGGTCATATGGAAGATTAGACACACGGATGGACGCATGGACAGACGCATGGACAGACGGAATCAAAAACGAATGGGCGGAGGAATGCATGGACAGACTCACAAACGCTTACCTCCCGCCAATCATGCTTGGTTCTGTGGATATGATGTGATTATTTCATAACATAATTCACGACAATTATTCAGAATACACAGTACAAAATCACAGAGCTGCAATTACTTCTTTAGACAAAGTCACTTTGGTTTTAATCATGGTGATTGCTCATGTAACAAGGATTCTCTGGCTCTAACGATACGTTTCGAGTTCACGTTAAATTATCTTTCCAGCTGACCCACGCTCCACCATGATTATGAGGCAATGAGGAGGAATCTGGGTCGAGGTTGCTGGGCTTTACTGCCTCCTTTTTGTAGGACGAAATACGAGCTTGCAGCTTTTGCACGATCTGTAAATAAAGAAAAAAATATGACAAAAGTCCCAGTTATGTAACATGAAAATGATCTGAAAACATTCTAAAATGATCTTCATCCTTCATGTTGTACCAGACATGAAAATAAAGATTCAATTCAATTCAATTCAATTCAATCTAACTGCACTCTAGAACGCTAGATGTTACCACAAATGCTATTTTCTTTCTATTTTCTTGTTGCCATTTGATTGAAATGTGACTGCTGCCATGGGCAAAGTGCGCCTAAACCTCTGAGAACTATGCGCATAACCTACCAACCTTGTGAGTGATTTTGAATGAAAAAAAGAGGAAAGTAAGCCCGGTAACTGTCTCTCAGGGGGAGGACACCTCAGCAGTAGCTCACGAGGGGGGGGAGGGTAAAGGAGGAATTAAAAGGATAAGATTAAAATGTAAAGAGTTAGAGAGGAAGAAGAAAGTGAGGTGAAGGAACAGCTATAGACAGAAAACGACGGAAGTAAAGAGGAGATAGGAAAGATCGACATGGTCTCAGGAATCCGAGGACGTGGCACCTCTCGACGAGAGCTCTTGTCGGCGTCAGGAGATGGCTAGGGCGAGCCTAGTCGGTCAGAGCTGCGCTGTTGTCGGAGATCCCGGGGGTACAACCGGTCGGCATGATATTCAGAGAGTGAGTCCCCTTCGAACTTTGCAATGAGAATGCGTACTCAACTCGAACATTACAGTTACTTAAGGAACACGCGGCCACTAGCGATAACTCTGGAATCTTTGATGACACTTGTATAAGAACCTACGCGCTTGAGCGCTTGCTGTTTTTCTGACAGCCTACGCTGTGTTCGCCACAATCAGAGTTCTGTGTGCTTATTTCTATAGTTTGGCTTTCTCTCTCTGCCAAACGTGCAGCTAAATGAAGAGTTTAGCCTTGAACACGCTTGCAACTACCTTCGTTGATGTCACAACCCCGTGAGATTATTTTCTAGGTTCGGCATGTTGCGACATTTATCTGGCAAACATTGATGTTTCTGAACGGTGTCGTATATATCCAGGACGGCTGGGAAATTCAAACCAAGGAGGGTGTTTTTGTAGGACCTCAAAAAACAGCACTGAAAATGGCCCGGGTATCCCCGAAACCCCAGGCCCAAGAGACAGATCACGAGATTGTAGGTTCGGGCTGGGGCCTGGCTCGGGCCTGGTACCTTCAGGAGCGGTCGTGCTCGAGCTTGAATAATGCCTTTAGTGTGCCAGGTTCCCATACTAACCGGTATACTGGTGTGAGTATGCCGTTTCGCTTTGTTGTTTTGAGAAGTTTCATGTCCCGAGGAGACCCATTCTGTTTGAGACGCTGTTGTTGAGTTCTCCAGGAAACTTGGAACAAATAATAGTGCTTTATTGCGCGCAATAATTTCACAGTATGAACAAAATGTCTAGCAGTTGGTTGCATGTATTTGCTACAGGCAATTTGCAGAAACTTTTAACTTGAATTTCCACAATTGACTGAAAAACGCTCTTCAGTACCGTGTAAGGGAAGGCTTTCCGGTGTGACTGAGGCAACATAAATGGTACAGTGCCTAAATTATTATATTATGTGCGCATTTGTGAAATTTTTTGAATATCCAGCTACGCTCTCAAGCCCGCCATGCATATTTCCACTTATCTGACTCCGTAGACTGTTATATGTGACCTGTGAGTCATTATTAAGTCAAGAGCTGTTTTTCATGAACCTCAAGTGCACGGTGCAGTGCGTCTCTTATCTCAAACGTGCCAATCGATGTCAATGTTTCCGATTAGTACTTGCAGCAAAGCAGTTTCAGTGATTTATTGTTTGGCGTTTAGCAATGATACTCAGCTTTTACCTTGATTACCCATCGTATAAAGCACATTTTTCGCTTTTGTCTACAACTTCCTTCTTCATTGTCGAATTTGGCAGTAATATTTAAGTGTGCTAATTGGTCGAAGAGAAACCACGTGGCATTCTAAAACGCGAAATCGCCCCGTTGCAGAGGTGAGTAAGAGCTCTAACGAAGATGATCATTATCATGATGATTTGCGGCTGTACCCTTAGTAACACAGATGTGTACTGCCACGGGTGATTCGACACATTTTACCGCATAAATTTATAAAGACTCCAGTGACTCCCCGTATTGAGAGATTTTTCATTCCTGGAAACTTCTTCCCCCCGCTTCTGTCATTTTGGGGTATTAATGGCGAAGTCAAACACATCAAAAGTAGAAACATGAAGCTCAACTATTGTAACAAAATTATGTCATTCAGCCAACAGGTTGTACGCGCTTAGGTTATCTCTCCTTAATGTCCGTAAAGATTCAACTTGTTTGCGTCACATAGTTTCGCAAGCTGCGTAGCTGCTGCGCTTATCACTATACCTGAGGCGCCCACATATGCTGTCTTCCTTCTACATGTTTGTTAAATATTTCAAGAATACCAATCACTTGGCTCGCCGAAGTGTGTCTGGAGAATGTGTGTCTTTCAAATGCAAATTATTTATTTGGGCCATGCAGGCACTTTTAACATATCTCTCTCTCTTTCTCTCTCTCTCTCTCTCTCTCTCTCTCTCTCTCTATATATATATATATATATATATATATATATATATATATAAATGGCACAACGGGAGCGTTGTCAACAAGCATAATTATATTTATTTCCCAACAGTTCCGGGAGGGGTCCTCCTTTCATCAGGGATGAGTTATACCTCATCCCCTAAATGAAGGAACCCTCCTGAAACTGTTGGGAAATAAATACATTTAACCTTGTTGACAACGCTCCCGTTGTGCCGTATCCCATACCTTCACGAAGAGTAACTGGCTCATTTAAATATTACTCCCACTATATATATATATATTGTTATGGCGTTTATTAGCGGGCAGACAGCGAGTATACACAATGGCGACAGTAACGGCCAAGCACGGACTCTCAGCGCGAGCGGCGTTCTTGTTGGGTAGCCCCACTAGAAGGTACTCAAGAGTTCGACCCATTTCAGAGTTCGGAGGCTTCGCTACAATTACCCCGGGGTCGAAGAGGGAGCCGCCTGGCGACCTAACAGCTTGTTACTATGAGCGGGTCATAATAAGCCTTCAGGCGCTCCAAGTTGACGATGTCTCGCCCACGGCGGCGCATGTCCGAAGATTGTTCAACGGGTTCAATCAGATAGTTGACGGGTGAGGTGCGCTCGATGACACGGTAGGGGCCTTCGTATTTGGGACGTAGTTTGGAAGAGAGGCCAGCTGCAGAGGAAGGGATCGAGAGCCATACAAGCGCACCAGGAAGGAACGTGGGCTCAGAAGTGGTGGAGCCATCACGAATACTCTTCTGCCGCTCTTGCTCTTGCGTCGTAAAAGTCTTCGCAAGCTCGCGACACTCTTCAGCAAGCCTGGCTGTCTCAGAAATATGTGTACACTCAGATGGATCCGGCGTGTACGGGAGCATTGTGTCCATGGTGTGCGACGGGTGCCTTCCGTACAGCAAGTAGAAAGGTGAAAAACCAGTCGTGCTCTGAGGGGCGGTGTTGTAGGCGTAGGTGACGAAGGGCAGTATATTATCCCGAATTAGTGTGGTTGGCAGCGACGTACATAGAAAGCATGTCGCCGAGGGTGCGGTTAAAGCGTTCGGTGAGGCCATTCGTCTGTGGGTGGTAAGCAGTAGTTTTGCGGTGGACAGAATGGCACTCCGTCAGAATGGCTTCGACGACTTCCGACAAGAAGACACGGCCTCGATCGCTGAGAAGCTCTTGAGGTGGTACCGTGGCGCAGTATAAATCGATGCAGCAGGAAGGACGCAACATCACGCGCAGTAGCCGCAGGGATAGCGGCGGTTTCGGCGTATCGCGTTAAATGATCTACGGCGACGATGGCCCAGCGGTTACCAGCCGACGTCAGAGGAAGTGGTTCATACAAATCGATACCTATGCGCCCAAACGGACGCTCAGGGCAAGGTAACGGTTGCAGACTGGCTGGCGACATGTGTGCTGACGGTTTGCGGCGTTGGCAAGCGAGGCAGGAGCGAACGAACTGCTGCACATAGCGGTACATCCCGCGCCAGAAGTAGCGTTGTCGAATACGACGGTAGGTTTTGAATACCCCAGAGTGCGCGCATTGCGGATCAGAATGGAAGGATTCACATATCTCTGACCGCAGACTGCGGGGTATCACGAGTAACCACTGCCGGCCATCGGCGTCGTAATTGCGTCGGTGTAGAAGGCCGTCACGGATGGCGAAATGGCGAGCTTGACGACGCAAGGCACGCGTGGATGGCGTTGCGGATGGATCAGAGAGCAAGTCGATGAGCGGGCCGATCGAATTATCCTTTCGCTGTTCGGTAGCGATGATGTCAACATCAATGGCAGAAACAGCAGCCGAGGATACTGAGCAGAGCACATCACCTTCAGGCAGAGGGAGCGCGAGAGGGCGTCGGCGTCAGCATGCTGGCGTCCGTTGCGGTACAGCACGCGGATGTCATAGTCTTGTAAGCGAAGAGCCCAGCGGGCGAGACGGCCTGAGGGATCCTTCAATGATGAAAGCCAGCATAGTGCATGATGGTCGGTGACGACATCGAATGGGCGACCATACAAATAAGGTCGAAACTTTGTAAGGGCCCAGACGATCGCCAGGCACTCTTTCTCCGTGACGGTGTAGTTTGTCTCAGCTCTCGTGAGCGTACGGCTTGCATATGCTACGACATATTCAGAGAATCCGGGTTTGCGCTGCGCCAGGACAGCGCCAAGGCCTACACCACTGGCGTCTGTGTGCACCTCCGTCGGGGCCGTAGGGTTGTAGTGGCGTAGAATGGGAGGAGACGTCAGCAAATGGCGGAGCTTCGCGAACGCGTCGTCGCACTCAGACGACCACGAATTGAGGGGCCCGTTACTTCCAAGGAGCTTCGTCAGCGGTGATATAATCGTAGCAAAGTTTCGTATGAAGCGTCGGAAGTATGAGCACAGGCCCACGAAACTACGCAGTTCTTTGACGGACGCAGGTTTGGGGAATTCAGCCACGGCCCGAAGCTTG